AGAGAGGACAGGGGCTGGACCGGAGTGGTGACAGCGGGAGGGGAGAGAAGCTGGATTCAAGAGTGTATATTCAGACATATGTAATTTTTATGCAGATGCCACGGGTTTGAAATGTAATGCAAATAGAATAAACCTGTAATATTCATATGCTTAAATTTTTTCACCCATGGTACCTGAATCAGGAATATATAGGACCCAAGCTATATGTCCCAATATATTCAGGAAATAATAGTGACAACTCTGAAATTTTATGAGTATTTCTCTATAAACTCAGACTGCTTAAGTGCATAAAGAAAGAAAATGATTTTTGAATCTTAATAATGAGTATTTTCTCATTATACTGTACTTTAATAAACTAAGACAAAAGCAATATACTAACCTTAATAAAAATGGATCTTAACTGAAGAGCCACTAGTTTCTTTGAAGGCAATGCATACACTGCAAGTATAAGAGAATGAAACCACATGATAGTTAAAATTAAGGAGTCATACATGAGAAATTAATAACAAAACTGAACTAGGAAAAATTCTGTATCTAAATATTTAAAAAATATATTTATTTGGCTGCATCTGGTCTTAGTTGCAACACACAGGCTTAATTGCCTCACTGCATGTGGGATCTTAAGCTCCCCAAACAGGGATTGAAATCTGTGTTCCCTGAATTGGAAGGTGAATTTTTAACCACTGGACCACCAGGGAAGTCCCTAAAGATTTTTGCCAATTAAAACACAGAACATATGCACTACATCATTTAGCTAAAACACTTTACAAAGTACCTCAGAATTCACCCATGGGCTTTATTCCATGGAATAGATTCATTGCTGAAATTTAACTGTAAGAAAATTATCAAAAACTATTTCTCTTCTTTGATTGTAAACCTAGAGTATTCCCCTGATAACAAATGACCCCATTTTTAAGACCAGGTTTGGTTTCTGATACTGTTCCATCAGCAAGGGTGCTGACCACCAGGCATGTTTGGAACAAAGTGGGCTGAAGCTGGAAGCTCAGGAACCAGGGAAGTGGGCAGGCTGAGTTGATGTCCATGACACCTCACTTCTGCAGCACAGAGCAGCACTCCTCCCCTTCACCAGAGTTTCACACACATCTTGTTTGTTGGTAAGATCCTGTTTCCCAGCGCCTTTCTCATGTGATGTAACATCACCTTTCACGTATTCTGGTCAAAAATATTTAGCTTCTAAATAATCAAGCCTTTAATCCTTAGTCCAGTTTCAGAAAATACAGAGGCCAGAGGAACACCGTGGTTGGTCTGTACACTGTGAGCCCTGATGCTGCTGCTGCTAAGTCGCTTCAGTTGTGTCCGACTCTGTGCGACCCCATAGACAGCAGCCCACCAGGCTCCCCCGTCCCTGGGATTCTCGAGGCAAGAACACTGGAGTGGGTTGCCATTTCCTTCTCCAATGCATGAAAGCGAAAAGTGAAAGTGAAGTCGCTCAGTTGTGTCTGACTCTTAGCAACCCCATGGACTGCAGCCCACCAGGCTCCTCTGTCTATGGGATTTTCCAGGCAAGAGTACTGGAGTGGGGTGCCATTGCCTTCTCCGGTGAGCCATGACTAACCCCAACTGACAGCCCAGCAGGGAACTGTGGAGATGGGTGGCGTGGGAAGGGCCTAGGCCTCCTGCAGTCAAGTGACTCGTCTCTCTGAGCCAGGTCAGTGTGCATTACGGTGAATGCTACCACTGTGTAACAGATGACTTCAGCCTGCGTGGAACACTGCACATTAAACACACAGGTCTGAACCCAGTGTTAGCAATGCTTACATGTGCCAGGAGGACAGAAAGTAAAACTGAGGATAACAGGGGGAAACCCCGTGTTAAAAATCATTCTATCCAAGGGTACAAATACGGGCATCTCTCTCAAGGGGGCTGTAATCCAGGGTGTGTGCAGGAGAGCAGGGCACCACTGTGGATTCTAAAGAGCCATTCCAGGTGCCAACGGACACCCAGGGAGAATCTGGCTGCGACTTGACACAACTCTGCCTCATGGAAGGATATAACACACCTTCAGCATTTATACTGAGCTCCGCTGAATTCTCTTCTGCAGTTGCATATGGATTGTTTCCAACCATTGGCACAAGACAGTCAGTATAGAAGTAACCAATCTTATGCATATTCAGTGTGGAAATAATCAGATCTATTGCAAGCTGGCCAACATTTCCAACAGATACTGCTGGCTGAAACAGTAAAAAAAAAAAAAAAAAAGTTCATTAAGTTATCCAAATCAGCAGCACTTTAAGAAGTTTAGACAGAAGACAACAATCACAGCACAGGTACTAGACACCAATGCTCAGGTGCATCACACCTGGGTTCTGAGCCTTTCATTAGCTCCACCTGGAGACTACTGACTGCATACTTACTGAATACCTGCTATGTGTCAACCCCTGTTCCGGGCACTAAGGATGCAAAATAAACAAATGGATCAGAGTTCCTGCCCTTGTAGAGTTTCCATCTAGTGAGGGGGTGGTTTGCTGTGGCAAACAAAATAGATAGTAAAATACATAGTGGTAAGTACTATAGAAAACATTTAAGTCAGTAAGTAAGGGTGAGTGTGTTTGTGAGTGACTGCAAGTTCAAAAGGGGTGGTCAGGAAACAGTCACTTCAGGTGACCAGTAACTACAGCCCTGAAAGAGGTAATGGAAACAGTCACACACAGACTTGGGAAATGATGAGGTCAGGCAGTGGGCAAGCAGGTGCAGAGGCTGTGAGGTGTGAACAACAAAGTTCCTGGGTCTTCTTTCCGTTTGCTTCATTCGTGCCTAAAGGTTGGAGGGAGCTTCTTTTCATGCAGCGCACACACACACACACACACATACACTCGCTCGCTCTCTTTCTCTCTCACACACACATACATTCTCTCTCTCTCTCCATGACTTCAAACAGCCAACTACCACATCTCCACCTACACCCCAAACGCTCACCTGAACTCCACAGCCAAATGGCTATCTCCACACAGTTATGTCAAAACCAGCAGGTACAAAACAAAGCATCTGCCTAACTTGCTCCCTACTTTGCACTTTAGAAAACAGTGACAATTACTCACCCAGTTACCTAAACCAGGGACCTGCTTCCCTTCCTCTCAGCAGCCACAGCAGCAGAGGACTAATTTTCACTGATCCTGTCTCCAAAGTTTCTCTTCACTATACCTCCTCCTCTGCACTCTTCCAGCAATTGCTAGTTTTTGGCCTCAATGGGTCCCTCAGAGCAGCCTCCCACTTTGTGCCCTCACATACCAATCCCCTGGTTACCTCCTTTAATTCCCTTTCCCTTTTTTGAAGATTCTGCTACTTTGGTTAGACCCTCACTCTCAAGTATTGTTCGTTTCTTCCTCACTACTGGATTCTTCCCATCAGCATATTCACACCCTCTAAAATCTTTCCTTCTAAAAAACTCCCTTTTCACACGCTGTCACTTCTCAGTGTCCCTCCAGAGCCCAAATTCCTTACAGTCCGTCCACTAAGACACAAGCAGGAACTTTATCTCTGAATTCAGGAACAAAAGCACAAACATACACATCTCCATGTCTTCTCCCATTTCTTCAATCCAATATGGCTTCCCTCTTCACCGTCAAGGGTACTGCTAGTAACCTGTGGATATTATTTTCTATATGATGTTTTCTTTCTGCCAGGTATCTCCTGCAAAAATACTTTTTCCCTTTTGTGATTAACGAATATTTTTCAGGGAGACACTTTGATATGAAGTCAAATTTTCTTCCTCAGTACACTATATCATTCACTGACACTTCTTTTTTGCTTTGAGCTGCACAAGTAGGACCTTAGTTACTTGACAAGGGATCAAACCCACGCCCCTTGTAGTGGAAGCAAAGAATACCAGTTACAGGACCAGCAGGGAAGTCCCCACTGACATTTCTTGCATTATGATAAAAATTGTCAATAAGTGACTTTTCTATTACCATCATCCTTTTAAAAATGGATACATAGTTGACATATATGTGTTTCAGGTGCACAACATTGTGATTCGACATCTGTACACACTGCAATATGATTATGGCAATAGGTCTACTTAACATTCATCACCACTCAGTCATAAAATTATTTTTTCTTGTGATGAGAACTTTTTTTTTCATTTATTTTTATTAGTTGGAGGCTAATTACTTTACAATATTGTAGTGGTTTTTGTCATACATTGACATGAATCAGCCTGATGAGAACTTTTTAAGATCTACCCTGTTAACAACTTTCAAACATACAACACAATGTTAACTATAGTCATTACGTTTCAAATTACATTCTAGGACTTATTTTTGACTAGAAGTTTGTACTTTTGACCCCTTTCACCTATTTCATCCAATCTGTTCTATATTGTTTTTTTTAATTCCACATACAAAGCTTTTCTTAACAGGTCTTTGTATCCCTCCCCTTCCCAATAAATCCCAGGGTTTTTCTGTACCCTTTTCAACGTTCTAACTTGACTTACGTTATGTTCCCAACTAGACTGCAAACTCCTTGAGGACAAGAACCTGGTCTTACTGTTACACTCTGACACAGCACAACGCTCACTGAGACAATGAATGAACCGCGATAGAACCGCGTGCTGTCGGCAAGTCTTTACCAGCCCGCCTGCAGTTTCCTGAGTAATGACAATCACTCCCAAGCTTAAACACGGTACAGAGCTAGCTGAGAAACGATTTTCCAGGAAGAAAGGTACAGCGAGTGGCCCGCACGGCACCAGCGGAGCGCAAGGTCACGTCTCCGCACCTTCCGCTCTCAGCCACCAGGACCCGGCCCCGCAGACTCGCGGGCGTCCGGGGGCCGCTCTGACGCCCGCCCCCTGCCCCGACTCACCATTAGGAGGGTGCACCCCGCGAGGTCGGGGACCGAGTCCCCGGAGGGGACGAACATGATTTCGCCGGCGGCACGAAGAGCCAGCGGCCGGAAGTGCGGGTGGACGGCTCCTGGGGTCCTTCGAGGCCCCGGTCGCGGGGTCCTTAGGTGCCCGTCACACTGCCTGCCGGGGCGGCGCGCGGGAGGGGCTGCGGGCGGGGGTTTGGCTCCGCCGCGGAGACGCTGCGGCCGCCGGCGCGCCCGAGGGGGAGCACAGCATGTCGCTGCCGCCGGAGAAGGCGTCCGAGCTGAAGCAGCTCATCCACCAGCAGCTGAGCAAGGTGAGGCGGCCGGCCGGCGGGCATCGCGGAGCCGCGGGCAGAGGGCTGTGGAGCCGGAGGCCGTCATTCACGGGAGGTGGCATGGAGGGGCTGCTGGTCCTCGGGGTCAGTAGGGCCTCCAGCCGTCGCCCCGTGCCGAGTGTCAGCAGCGTCTCTGCCCCGCTGCGGTCCTGACCCCCACCGTCTCCCCCAGACTCGTAAAGGGTCACTCCGTTAACCCTCGGCCACATCTAAAAGGTTGAGTTGACTTTTGGCCTTTGGTCGCTCCTCCACTGCTCTGCTCTACTCTCAAAAGATTGGTTTCAGTCGAGTGTTATTTGTGGGAAAGTGCTAGCAAATGTAATAGATAAGCTTAGAGCTTATTTTTAGAGTTAAAAATATTTATCCTTAAAGTTTTTTTTTCCTTTAAAAAATCTTACCTTTATTCTCAGTGAATTTCGGTAACAATCTCACACTGTTACTTGAGAAACCTTCCTGAGTTTAATCTAACTACTCATTATTATTATTTTGGGGTCAATACTTTGGAAAGATGTTAGCTAGTTGGCTGTCTTTGACTGCCCTATAACGTTTTAAGTCCTAATGCGAGTTTTCTACCTAGATGGATGTCCATGGCAGGATAAGAGAAATCCTTGCTGAGACTATTCGGGAAGAATTGTCACCTGATCAACAACAGCTATCAACCGAAGATTTGATCAAAGCCCTTAAACGCCGGGGAATCATTGATGATGTGATGAAAGAACTTAATTTTGTTTCTGTGAGTAATCTTTTAGAGGAAAACATTTGAGAGTCTTAAGTACATTCTCATGTTTAACACCACTCTTAGGGTCCAATCTGGGGCCTCTCTTTAGTGAAACTACTTTTTAATAAGACCGTTGTGTCTAGTAATATCCGCTGAGCTGGTAGGATTATGTATCAGTGAGACTGAAATTATGGACCTAATTATTCCCTCTACAGTGAGAGTTTTCTCTCATTCTCTAGGTCTAAAACTTTAAGTGTGTGTATTAGTCAGATTAGTTCACTCCAGCTATATTTTTTCTAAATTAATACTCTGGAATCTTTCTACACAAAGCTTATTATTGAAATAAACATATTGTTTGGTGCTGTGTTCCCTAAGATGAACACATTGTTAGTTTCTTTAAGGAATTAATTGTCTGCATAAGAACTTTCAAATCTTTTCACACAAATAGGTCAGTAGTGAGGTGATGCCTCTCAGTGCACAAATTAGTAAGTAGGTCTTTTGAAAGTGAGGCAATAATGAGAGACTGTGACCTCAATACCTGGGTAACATAATGTGGAAATTGGATGGACTTCGTAATACACCAGAGAATAAGTATTTTAGTCCAGCATCCTTTTTTGGTTTTTGGGGTTTATAAACTCATTTGTTATAAAAACTGACCTAGTAAGAGCTTCTGCTGTGTGAATGTCACTTCCTTATTAAAATCAGTTCTGTTCCTGGTGGAACCACAAGCCAGATGTCATTTGAGGTTTGGAGAAAGTTTAACCTTCTGTAAAGTGTTAAAAATTTGTTTTAGCATTCTGTGGACATGGCTTGAAGATCATGAATTCCTTCATGTTAGACTTTAGGAGTGACCAATTAGTTGCATTACTGTTTCAGCAGACTTTTCATTATTCTACCTGTGGTAGGAGAGTAAGGGCATTTTGAGGGGGTTTTATCCTGTCTACTTTTGGTCCAGTTCATAGTCCCATTATTGGCATTTTCTTACTTAACTGTAATTTTTGTTTTCTAATTTGTTTTGATTTTTTTTCTGCCATTCTAGGATAATGTTGATCAAGAACTCCCTTCCTCTCCAAAACAACCTGTTTGTTTTACTGACAGACAATCAACGTTATTAAAAAAAAGTATGTTTATTTCTTTTTAACATTAATTTAGTTGTGGATAGTATTGCATATAGATGTGCTTAGTGTTTTGTATTTGAGAGAAAGCATTTCTATTATTTTTCCAGAATGAGGTACTTATATTTTTCTGATAAATCATCCAGAAAACTTAGATTCTATTTTGCATGAAATGTATCAAAGATTTAATGTATAGCTGAGTGGAAACAAAAACAGGACTATCTGTTTTTCATGTTTTATTAATATATTTTATAAATTGTACAGCCTTTTTTAATGGCAGTGTAATTATCTAATAAGTATACTTACTGAGTTGGTAATTGTCCGAGATGATTTGCTGTATAAGAAACTAAAGAAAAAAAGATATACTAAACCTTGGCTCCAACTCCTGTCTAGCTGGAAGAAAGTAGCCAAAATATAAATCAGAAAAAGATATCCTATTACGTATTTTTCCTTCCCGGGGTACAGATGAGCCTGGTATATGGTAGACTTGTTACTCTTCCTTTTTTTAGTCTTTGGTTTTATTTCTGTCATGTTATTTCCTGTTGTCTTGATCACATTGCTTAAGTTGATTGGCAGTTTCCTCATATGTATTGCTACACTTTACAGCTAATATTGATCCAACACGGAGGTATCTTTACCTTCAGGTTTTGGGTGGAAAAGCTTTCTTGGAACATCTGCAAGAACCTGAGCCTTTACCTGGACAAGCTTGTTCAACCTTTACTTTATGTTTACATTTTCGAAACCAACGTTTTCGTTCTAAACCTGTTCCGTGTGCCTGTGAACCAGATTTTCATGATGGCTTTTTACTTGAAGTACACAGAGAAAATTTAGGTAAGGAGCAATGATAAACTGTCATTTAATTTTGTAAATCTTCGTTAAATCTTATCACAGAACAACTTTAACAACTTTTGCTTAAGAGATTTATAATGGATGAATCTCCCCAGTCTTTTGTTTTATTTGTTTTTTCCCTTACTGCTTTTTTCCTATGTAAATTAGTACTACCTACCTTCTTGCTTTATTTTTGGCTAGTTTTCCCTGAAGGTTACTTTTGACTTTTAATGGTTGATTGTTTAGTAGTAAAAATTTAAATGCTTGTTAGGTGGAGAATGAGACGGGGTCCTCTTCATTTCTGAAAGATGGCTTGATTTACGATGTTAGTAACTTTTACAAGTAAGAGTTTAGACGTGAGTCTATAACTCATTTTTAAGACTTTAAAATTATGATACTCGATTACTATAATTATTTTACATTTTTTCTTCCTGTAAAGGTGTCATATCTTAGTTGTGGATGTCAAAATGTTTATATTTGTAAATTTAACAAAGTTGTAGCATTATAGATTCAGAATTTTAGGTTGCTGAAATAGCTAGTGCACTACTAATATTTTATTTTTTTTAATTTTTTCATTTTTATTAGTTGGAGGCTAATTACTTTACAATATTGTAGTGGTTTTTGTCATACATTGACATGAAATTTTATTATATTTTACCGGGTGAAAAGTATTACCTTAATAAGGCAGTTACTGGCTTAAATTGGTAGCTCCAAGGTGCTGGATCTTTCACTTTTGTGTAGATAATACAGTGTTTTTTTTCCTAGAGGTTTCAGTTCAGTTCAGTTCAGTAGCTCAGTCATGTCTGACTCTTTGTGACCCCATGAACTGCAGCACGCCAGGCTTCCCTGTCCATCACTAACTCCTGGAGCTTTAAGGATAAAGATATTTTGGGGAATAATGTTGACATATTTCAAGGATTTTTATAGTGGTAGCATATACTTAATTTATGTACTTTTGAAGAATAGACTTAACCTCTTAGAGGTTAGAAAACACCAATATGCATAAAGAAACTAGATAACTTATCACAGTTCCACCAGTCTTCTGAAAAGTTAGCAACAGAAATGGGACTATTCTTTTATTCCCACTCTGTTGTATGCTTTCTGAGGCATTGCTGACTTATTCTGTTGGTTTTATGTGTTTATTATTAGTATCCTTTTCAGTGAAAATATTCTTTTACCTTGTCCTAACTGGATATGTCATGTGGTGTAATGTTTTTGGTTTATGTTGCTAGGTGATGGAACTAGAATGGCTGACTCTACCACAATGTTATCAATAAGTGACCCAGTTCATATGGTGCTAATCAAGACAGACATATTTGCTGAGACCACGTTAGTTGCATCCTATTTTCTTGAATGGCGATCAGTGTTGGGCTCAGAAAATGGGGTGACCAATCTTACTGTGGAACTTATGGGTGTAGGTATGACGATTAATATTACTGTTACCTTTTTATAGACACAGTTTATATGTAGATATATTTTATGTTTTAAAAATGCCTTTGTAAACCAGGAGGGAAACACGTAGGAAGAATTTGTTGGAATTACAGTTGGACTCTAGTATCGGAGTCTGGGGAAGTGTCTTGAGTAGTGTGAATATTGGACTTCTCTGTCACTCTTGCCTTGTTTTAAGGAAAAAAAAATTTCTGGGAGATACATAAATCTTGAGGGCTTTTCCTCTCAAGATTTGCTATAATATATTTGCTAAATATAATATATTTGCTAAAAATAAAGTTAAGATTTCTTTACACAAACATGTAGGCATGCACCCATACATGATAGCTTGTACCCCAGCCCTGCCAGGGTAGGTTCTTACAGAATCTGGAGTAGATGTTCCTCTCACCTCTTCCAGGTGGGACAGGGGCTCACACACTTGCTCAGTGCTGCTGTCGTCGGTGTCCCCTTGGAGATCGGACATGGTACCTGTATTGTAACCATTGTGTCCCTGGGTTCTTGCGGGTTCCCTGATATATAATACATATTTGCTAGTGGAATGAAAGGCAAAATAAAAGCTGCACTGTTGTAAGCACTACGTATAATGGAATTATTTTGGTATTAAAATTTGATTACAGAGTTAAGCTTGACCAGTGGACAATAGAGCTTTAGTAAGTTAGATTTTGATAGATTAGACCCAGAATACATTTTTCCTTAAGTAAATAGTAGGGAAAAAGCTTTATGTAGGAGATTTATTTTCAAAAGAGATACCCATTGTTTGTTTTTAAATATAAGCCTAACAAAATAACCATAGTAATGACCTGGAAATTTCTTATTTATCACAAAAATATTAAATAGTTATGGTGTGAAGTATATTTGTTTTCTAATTCTTTAAGTCCAGGAGTGGATTAAAAATTTGTACTCATATGTAATGTGAAACATGGGAAGGGATAAATGGAAATTACTATATGTGGCAAAATGTATAAATATTTTCTGAGAGTGAGGCATTAACAGTTGCTTTGACTTTGTTTTTAATGAAGATAAAAATCAAGACTCATAAATCCTTTAGGTCTGAAAAAGTCCCTTAAAAGTGATTGAGAAGCTAGGAAAACAGGTAATCTCCTTATAACTAGATAAAAGTCTTTGAACAAAATAAAAACCAATTTGAGTTGGGTTGTTTTTAATATGAATATAAAAGGTGTTTGAATATTGTCTTTATTCCGTGTAAGTGATAAAGCACAAAATTCTTAAATTAGTTTGGTTAAGCTTTGATTGACTAAATATACTGAGTATTGAAACTTCTGAAGTTACATTTATTTACATTTACAGGCACAGAATCTAAAGTTTCTGTAGGAATTTTAAACATAAAACTTGAGATGTACCCACCGCTCAATCAAACATTATCTCAAGAAGTAGTGAATACACAGGTAAATAAGCCTGAGTTTCTTTTCTTTGTGTGTTTTCATACTTGTAAATCCTAGGAAGTGTTCTCTTCTTAGAAAATTATCGTGTATTAGTTGTAAGCAAGACAGTGATAGTATGACGTTATTTAGAAATTTTTGTCTGGATCAAAAAAGGTAGCTCTGACTGGTATGGGGTCTTCCCAGGTGTCTCACTGGTAAAGAACCTGCCTGTAATGCAGGATACACAGGGGGCTTGGGTTTGATCCCTGTGTCAGGAAGATACCCTGGAGGAGGCAGTGGCAGCCCACTCTAGTATTCTTGCCTGGAGAATCCCATGGACAGAGGAGCCTGGCAGGCCAGAGACCATGGGGTCACAGAGAGTCAGACATGATTGGCATGGAGACTGGATTGTCCTGGGAAGTGTGAGATCAGGGAGGCCAGTTAGGGGCCCTTATGGATGACAGATGATGGTGTCCTGATTGAGTAGTGCTAAAGATGGAGGAGGTGCATAGACTTGTTCCATATTTTGTGATCATTGTTGAAGAGAATGAATATAAATTGATAAGTATATTTTTAAATTTCAAGCTTGCTTTGGAACGTCAGAAAACTGCAGAGAAAGAGCGGTTATTTCTTGTGTATGCTAAGCAGTGGTGGAGAGAATATTTGCAGATTCGACCCTCACACAATTCACGACTGGTGAAGATTTTTGCACAGGTTTGTAAATTGTATGAGAAGTTTCACAGCTGTATTTGAGATTTACTGGTTGTAAACATCAATTTCAATTAACTTTAATTTGTAAAATGTATTTATTCCAGACAAGTGAAAATTTATTTGTAAAACAATATGCTGATTTTGTAATAATTTGACAATAGTAAGTAGGTGAGTGACATATCACAATCTTTGTTTTATTATGCTTTTTATTTTCAGTTACTGTTTTTCTAAACCATTTTTGAGCATGTTTAATTTAAACTAGATGAAAACTCATTTTGTTTAATTTGGAGTGTGTCCTCCATTGATACTTTGTACTAGATAAGTAGTAGGACACTTTGCAATTGACATGTAAATTCAGCTTTCAGGTGTAGTATTGGTAGTGTAGGCATATATTTCTTTGTTAGGGTATTTTTTAAGACAAAGAGTATTACATGTAATGAGTCTATTCAACCAAGATCTCTAAGCTGCTAACCACTCATATTTAACTATAGCATTTCAGTTATGTATCTCTGCCTCTGTTTTTTTCTGTATCCTAAGCCCTTTTTCTGTCGTTAGTAAACCAACATAAATAATCAGATCCAGATCCTTTTCTTTTAATAGCTTCCGAGGAACCATTCAGATATTTTTCTATGTATTCAGTCTTGTGTAGGTGCTATGAAAGCATATGAGTGTAGTGTTGTGATACTGTGCCTCAGATCCTGTACATTTGTGTAGCTTTTCCCTACATTCTCTATCTTTTAGGACAGGCTGAAGGTGGTTCACTTTCTAGATGAGAAGCTTGGGAATGGAGGGCATAGTTGGTTGGTGATGGGAATGTGGGAATGTCTTCTGACTTCCTGACAGCCTTGTCTGTATGTTGACTGACAGGCAGGAGGGGAGCAGCGACACTGGGACAAGGGCGAAGAGAAACCAGCCCAAGTATAACTGGCTCCCTCTTGTGTGTGTAGTCTGGAATGTGGTCATTCACTGCCCCGTTGGAGCAGAGAGGACAGGGAGGGAGGGGGAAGTGGACCAGAGAAATGGCCCATGGAAGAGCTGAATAATACCCCATGCCTTCTTTATCAGCTCATCCATTGACATCCACTTAGGTGTTTCCATGCCTTGGCAGTTGTGAGTGATGCTTAAGTGATGGGATGGGTGTGTAGCAGTGTCTTTGAGACACTGACTTAAGTTGGTTTGGACACATATCCACGGGTGGGGTTGCCAGGTCATATGATGATTTAAGTTCTTAATGTCATAGGCTTTGAAGAGAAGTTATGAGAATTAAGAGAAAAATTGTATATACAACACTCAGTAGCCTTGTGCTGGATGCAGGGTAAGCAAGTGCTCAAGTGGTGTCCAGGATTATTTTCTCTCTGATGTGTTCTGAGCAAAGTGTTAAAATTAGAAATGATTAACTGTCACTACAGATAATGTTTTCCCTTCCCCTCCAGGATGAAAATGGGATTAACAGACCAGTCTGTTCTTATGTCAAACCACTTCGAGCTGGAAGGCTTTTGGACACTCCAAGGCAAGCAGCAAGATTTGTCAATGTCCTTGGTTATGAACGAGCCCCTGTTATTGGAGGAGGAGGTAAACAGGAGCAGTGGTGCACTCTGCTGGCCTTTCTCTGTAGAAACAAGGTATCCTGCACACATACTAGAACTAAAAACCAGTACATTGTAGTTACTGTGAGTTGATGGTATATTTGTAAAAGAATTAACTTAGGAAAAAAGTATACATTGGGGTATTTTCTAATTTCCTGTGTCAAAATTGTTGATAGTATTATAAAAATTAGACTCTTCAGCATTCCAACTCTTTTGAAACAGAATGAAAAAAAATTTCTTTATTGTTTTGAAATAATTTTTAGTCTGAAGTTGTATAAGCAGTACATATAGGTATGCACAAGGCAGAGCTTACAGAATGGGAAAAACCACTTAGATTAGAGATTGATTGTTGATTGGAAGGATTTTATCTTAAGACAGTTGAAAACAGTTAAACATTATTTATTGAAAAAATTATTTATTTCCAAGTTGTAATTCCCAAAAGTTGTATGTATAGATTTAAACTTAAAATAAGAACTTCAAATATAGTAGGAATATATTATATATATTTAAAATGATTTCCTAAATAATTCATTTGTAATACAAATAATCACCCCTTTTGATTCACTCTTTCCTTTTCTTGAGTTCGTTTGAGGAGAAAGCACATCTTGAACTTTGAAAATTATTAAAAATATTTTTCTTACAAAACATTAGTTTTATAATAGAGGTGAAATTTCACCCATAATTCTATTTTTCATCTATTTATATATTTTTATGTTTTTCTCCCATGTATATATTTTCCCCATAACTACAATTGATATAAATAGAATTGTGTGCCCTGCTTTATAAATTAGCTTTATGCTATGAACGTTTTCCCATGTGTTGCTCAGATACTATGATCTCCAGCTTTGAATGTCTGAATGAAATTTTTATTAGCTAATACATAAAATCTACCTGATGGTTTTGCCATCATAGGAACTGTTTCTTTTGGGTAAGTTAGGGTTGCTTCCAAATTTTTTATATCACTGTGAATGAATTTTTGCATTGAATATCTTTGGTTATATTGTTATTTTTTCTTTTGAGATTTTTTTCCTAATATAGAATCTCAGTGTACAGAAATGACTAACTGGGTCTTAAAGGTTGGGTATTAATGGTTTTCAAAAGTCAGTTTAACATTTATAAGATGCTGTTTGTTTTATTATTGTTAACTAAAAGACAGCAGTGTAGAGCTACCAGTGCAGAATTTGGGGGCTGAGAGCTTATCCCTCGTTCTAACTCTGAAATCAGTAGTTATTTTGCTTTTGTATGTTAACTGTAGTCCTACACTGAAGTACATATCTTCATATAATTGTGGCCTTACTGTGTAACATTTAAATAAGGTTTTTCACAGAAAATGGATATTTTCTATTATTTTTGTAGTTTTTGTAATTTTTTTAAATTGTGAAAGTAATATAACATTATCAAAGAGAGTTTGCACAAGAAAGAGGGAAGCTGTATATAACCTGCCCTAATGACAGCCATTGTTGTTTTTTTATCCAGTCATTTTTTCTGTGTATTTCCTTAAAATGATCAAGTATAGATACTTTAAATCGTTGTTGTAAGCTTGAGTGTTTTCCCGTTTATTGGAATTTCCTCCCCATGACCCGTCATCTTGTGTGTTCTTGCCCTTTAGCTATTTATCTTTAAATTCTTACTGCTTTGGGGGGACTTCCGTGGTGGTTAAGGGGATGAGGGTTTGGCTTCATGTGCCTTAAGGCCAAAAACCAAAACATTAAACAGAAACAATATTGTAACAGACTTAGTAAAGACTTTAAGAACAGTCAACATCAAAAAAAAAAAATCTTCAAAAAAATTCTTACTGCTTCTATGTTGTGTGAGTTCTTTGTAAACTATGGAGTCTTGAAGTGTATGTTAAGACTGTCAGTTTTGTAGGCACTGACTTTGTAAAACAGGTGCTTCTAAAATGCACATTGTATTTTCCCCTCATTGTTTTAGCTTAACACTGGACTAAATGATTAAAAGTAAAAATTTAGTTAACACTTTTTAATTGCAATTTTGTATTTAAATATTTAATGTGGAAACCATGTGAGGGAGTAAGTACTTCATGTTGCTTCCTTTTATTTGCAGGGAGACTGTGAAGACCATGCCAACCTTCTCTGCAGCCTCCTGCTCGGGTATGGGCTGGAAGCTTTTGTTTGTGTCGGGACCAAGGCCAAGGGCGTGCCCCATGCATGGGTCATGACGTGTGGCACTGATGGGACCGTGACTTTTTGGGAGAGTTTAACAGGACACAGGTTTGTCAGCCACGTTTATAGGGATATTAGCACGAAGGTGTAAATGTTGTCAACTGTAGGTTCTGTTTTATTGATGGTATCAGAAGGCACATATTAATAATTTGGGGTATGTTAAAAAATTACCTCAATTAAGATAGCTATGAACTAAGCTAAGAAAATTTGTATACCTAAAATATTCTTTACCAACATGATATTAATAAAAAATAAATTATGCCTACTTTTAATTTTGTATAATTGCCATATAGTTTTGGGCTTTTTTTGGGGGTGAAGGGTGGGCCATGCGGCATATGGGATCTTAGTACCCAGACCAGGGATTGAACCCACACCCCCTGCAGTGGAAGCATGGAATCTTAACCACTGGACTGCCAAGGAAGTCCAGGCATATGTGTTTTCTGATGATTGTTCCTAAGCCTAAAAATAAATTCAAGTTATAAGTCATTTCTTTTGAGAACTTGACGTGGTTACCAACTCCTTGTTGGTAAATCCAGTTTACATTTTCTTGGTGTCATCAGATTTTGATAGATTGAAATGTTCCCTCCTTCCTGGAACATTCTCTTTCTTAGCTTCTCTCATAGCACTGTGTTTCAGCTTTCATAATTCCTCTCTGGCTGTTCTCTGTTTTCCTTCTTTTTGCCTCAAATGTGGGAGTTCCTGAAGGCACAGCCCTGAACCCTCTTCTCATTTTCCTGGATTTTCTGTTTCCTTGGTTGATAATCATTTTAGTTAGTTGTGCCTAAAAATGTGTGGCTAAATTATTTTGTTACCTGGATAATGTTTGTGATCTTAATGCTATGCATGGAATATATTCTTATGTTGAAGGAATAAAATTGGTTTCTGTATCATAGATGTGCCATCCAGTGTATGTGACGTAATCAAATTGTGGAAATACAAGGAGAAACAAATATTAAACTTGAGTCTTGGGAAGTAGTTATGACCTTAAGTGTTAGAGTAATTTTTTTCCTCAGTAAGCTGCTGCTGTCGTCTTAATTTCTGAGTTCTTACTATATAAAACTATGATTAACCTTTTTTAGGTACCTCCACAAGCCTATCAACCCTGATGAGCCTCCGGCTGCTGAACAGCCCAAACCATTGTACCCGTATCGAACAATTGGTTGTGTTTTCAATCATCAGACGTTCCTGGGAAACTGTCAGCCCTCTGACTCAGTGGAAAGCTGTGTGTTTGATCTGAATGATGAGTCCAAGTGGAAACCCATGAGTGAGGAAGCAGTTAAATCTGTGTGTGCTCCGGGGGCCACCACATCCCTCCCTCCCTTTCCTCCGCTGTGTGCGTCCACGATCGACGCTTCTGTGACAAGCAATGAGATAGAAATGCAGCTCAGGCTGCTCGTGTCGGAACACAGGAAGGTAATTAACACTGAGATTTGGGCTTTCCTGTATTTTTCTCATGTTTATGTATTTAAAAGATATATATATTTTTTTGGTGTATAAAACAATTTCAATCAGTTTCTAGCCCTAAATAAAACAAATTCAGTCCCTTCCTTTATGAGGGTTGTGGTTTTGAAAGTCATAGGAGTAAAACTCTGAGATTCAAAACTTTCTGAATTCACCAGTACTTACAGAAATTATTACATCCTTGTCCTTGTAGGAATGAAGGATGGTGGACTTGTTGAGACTTTTTTGAATACTAGTGTTTGGATTTTTTCTTTGTACTTATTTAAATCATTCCCCATTGACAATATTGGGTTACGTTTTTTCATTTTCATTTTTTTTCCAGGTTTGTTTAGTTGTTTTATTTTTCTGTTACATTAAACTAGGTAGGTGTAAGATTATAGCCACATAGTGGCTTTGATTTACATTTCCTTGATTACTAACAAGATGAAGCTTTTTAGTAGCCATTTAGATTTTGTGAAGGGCCTTAAAGGAAACATAAAAAAGCACTGATCATAATGGAAAAGATTAGTGTATGTTAATAACTTACTTTCATCAGAATTCATTAAGAGAGTGAAAAAGCAGCCTTGGAGTGGTAAAAGTTACTTGCCACGCATATAATCAACCAAAGACTAGAGTCCAGAACTTGCACAGAAGGTTGATTTCTAATTCACTTTTTGGGAGTCCCTATTACTCCCCTCCTTGGGTGAGCCCTGATTCTCATGTTCCTTGAAACCATCAGAGACACTCTGAGTTATCAGCTGTGTTCTCTGGGCTCCCAGTTACTTTTCCCTTTAGCCTATAAAATCTTAGCTACTTGCCAACTTCTCAGGGTGCTCAAGAGTGTGTTTTGGGAAGTATTGAATGTGGTACTTGTAGTGTGTTTCCAGCAGTAGGTGGGCCAGGGCTCCATCTCCTACCTCCATCGCTTGTATTGCCTTTTACTTTCTTAGCTTCTGTCTGAAAATGAAACTGACATTTTAATACATTATAAGAACTACATGTTTAGAAAAAAGAGAACAAAGCTGAGCTGAATGCCATTGATGGTTGCTTGCTAAGTTAATGGTGTCTATAAGCCCGCAAGTAACAGTCAGAGGAAGAAGATAGGTGATCCCTTGGGATCACTTGAAACCAGTTATAACAGAATGTGAGATTAGATCTGTTATAATAATCAAAATATTTAGAATTTTTAGTTTGTAGCATTTAAAAAAATTACATGTCTAGGTAGCAATGGTTCATTTGATGTCATAAGTGAAATTATAATTGCCTTCAGCATGTCTTAAGCTCCCAGAGGGCCTGTAGCTTCTGCTTTTTGGTGCCTTTTGCAGGATAAATGCTCAGTAAATGTTTGTGTTTAATTATATGCACAATTTGTTGACATTTCTCCCCTACTACAGTTGAATTTATGGTGGGAGCAATCAGGTTAAGCAGATTCAATCTCGTGAAAGTCTTTAAAGTTAAATAAAATCTGACCTCAGAATTCATTGACGTGTTGTCTTCCTCAGTAAGACAATTCCTTATGGTCTTTCCTTGTGGATATTAAGGGAGTACAGGATTTGCAGCCTTCACTAACATCATTGCATTAGCTGCCTTTTGTTATTTCTCTAAGAAGTTAAACCTGATAGATACCTGTTTTTCCTTTTATAATTTTTACTTCTTTGTATCCTTATAGTAATTAATAAGAAGTTAAGAAAATTATGACAGATTTTAAAAATCCTTTCTTGGCATACATTAAAATAATCAACATTATAATTATAATTAGTTTTTTTAAGTATTGTATTTTGCTTTTTCCATTTCGATTGCTGTAGGACCTTGGCCTTACTACTGTCTGGGAAGACCAGCTTTCTTATCTCTTGTCACCAGCTCTGGCGTCTTATGAATTTGAGCGTACAACAAGCATATCTGCGGGCAATGAAGAGTTTCAGGATGCTATCAGAAGGGCTGTGCCTGATGGCCACACATTTAAAGGGTTCCCAATACACTTCGTGTATAGAAATGCGAGGCGCGCGTTTGCCACGTGTCTGCGGTAAGGTGGAATTTATGGTGTCTTGGTGTTTTTGACATAATCTCAGCGGACACTTGGTGCTAATTTAGGAATGACTTCAGAGTCACACAGGGAGCTTCTGTAATGACCTGTCCTCTTGCCTCAGACTGTGATTCATTAGGGCCAGAGTAGCTCTTGAGAGCTCCGGGTTGTTTCCCCAGTGATTCTGTCGAGGATCACTGATCTTGTCTAGTGTAATTTTAAAAACTTAATAGGCTACGAGGAAATAGTTTTTTTATTTTTTTGAGGAAATAGTTTATAATTTGAATAGTTTCACCACAATTGCAGAGTCCTTGATAACAGAGACAGTATTTTTAAAAATCATTTTAAATACTGACTTTCTTGGAAATAAAGTAAAACCTAATTTCATTTCTTAATTGAATCCATTTTCTCTTTTCCAAGGTCTCCTTTCTGTGAAGAAATCATCTGTTGCCGTGGAGACCAGGTGCGCCTGGCAGTTCGTGTCCGCGTGTTTACTTACCCTGAATCTGCTTGTGCTGTTTGGATCATGTTTGCTTGTAAATATCGCTCAGTACTATAGGACTAAGTTTCTATAAGACTATACCTGTGTTTTATTAGAATTTTACACATTGTATTAATAATAATACTAGGTGTTTCGAGGTTCATTACTTTAAAAATCACAATCTGGCTTTGATGTCATATTTAACTTTTGTATAAGCCTCACTAATAATGTTTGAAAAGTATCATGATATGTGTTTAAAAATTAAGGATGAAAAACTTGTATAAATTTCAGAGGATGTTAGTATAAATTAAGTGTTTATCTTATTTTAATAAATATTACTTTGCTTATAAGTAGTCAGTAGTTTAAACATGAAAATAAAATTTACTTAGTTTTCTTTGCATTAACAGGTAATCAGAAAGTTATTTGCCTAAGGATTTGAGCCATAGTGAATTTAATATGATCATTATTTTTCATAGAGTAATGGGATTATTTTATATAAATTAGGAGAAATTAGCTTCACAGCATTTATTTATTATATAGGTAAAATACATTTTGATGAATTTACCACTTTTGTGGTTTACCCATAACCACAGGGATATTTGTGACTCTCTAGAGAGTTATGGGAAGACATGGATGCAGGAGCAGAGAAAAAACTCATACCAGAAAAGCATAAATATTAATAACAAACCACACATGAAAGTATGCAAATAATTTATAAATATTTGTTAGTTTGATTCATTGTAAAAGTGAATTATGTATTTTATTTTATTTTTGGTTATTTATTTTTGAATTGAGTATTAGAAAAAATTTGTCATACACTTTTGTTGTATGTTGAAATTGTTTTCTATAATTGATATTGGCAGTCTGTCGCTGATTTTCTGTGGTCAGAGCATTCTTTACTAGCCTCTCATGGAGTCTGTCTTTTGAAATCGGTTTTTGTTTCTTTCTTTTCTCTTTATGACAAAAGCATCCATTTGTATGTGGCGAATGTAAATCAGAGAATCATTATGTGAGGCCACTGAAAAATAAGCATCCGTGAGCGCCTCCATGCTGATGTTTGTTTTTAAGTTGAGAACAGTGCGCTTTGAAGAGGTTATAGGGTTTAAATTTTGTGGGAAGCTGCCTAACAGGATTGCCTTGCTGTCCACCCGCCTCTCTGTACAGCTCTCATTCATTCCTGCACCCACTGGGCTTCTTACGAAAGTGACTATACCTAGCGGCTGTGCAAGTTATGCTTTTCATCGCTAATTCAACATGGCAAATAAAATGATTTAATATTTTAGAAATTAAAATCTAAAAACATTCTAAAATTTACTTTTTAATTTTTACATATGTAATTATTTATGATATAACTTGTTTAAAAAGTCTGAAAATATCTCTCGTATCAATTTTTATTGAAAATGACCAGAAATCAGAAGTTTCTTGAGACTGACATGACTTTAGAGAATCATTAAGATAAGAATTAAGACTTTTTGGTCTGTTACCAGAGTTACTTGCAAAGCTATCAACAGGGAAAATTGCTTGTAAAATTTTCAGCTTTTGGAACAAACTATTTGTGAGGCATGTCCTAGGAGGCAGATTGATACATGACATCACGGCTGTCTTTTCTTTGAGGCTGAGCTTCCTGTATTACTGTGTCAGAGTAACACATGTACTTGTAATGCGCCTTTGGTGTAAATTCTAAAATAAATTTCCTTTTTATGCACTTTAATAGAGCCTGGCATGAATTAATATTTTCCTTTAAAGGTGGTTTATTTCCAAATATTATTTCAGTCTTTTTGTCACTAGAATTCTGCTACTCTTCTTACTAATAATTTTTCTTTTTAAAAATTAAATTTACATTGTATATTTAGCTCTGTCATAAAAGTTGTTTTTCTATTAAAATTGTAAACTTTTTAAAATATAATGCTTCTAATGTGTTCATTTTGACAGTATGTGCACTAACATAGTCCTCTAAACATATGTAATATATAATAAGTATTTATATAATAGAATGTCAGAAATTAGAAACTTCATTACTCAAGCATAAACTTGTTGAGTAAAACTTATTAAATTCAGTTTCAACGAACTGAACACTCTAGGTGCCCTTAAGATTGTTTCTGACAACAACAAAAAGATTGTTTCTAACAATGAGGTGGAAATTTTTAGCTATGATCGAAAACATCTTTAACCTGTTGGTTCTGGGAGGTACACACATTTGAAACCCATTTTTCTACTTAACAAAGACAGGAGTTGAGTCAAAATGCAGGCTTTATATTTGAAAAATAGTGTTGCTCATAAAATAGTATCTATCCTGTGCTTGATATCTGACCATTGGAAGGCATTAGTTAATGAACATGAGTTGCTTAAACTAATTTATTTACACTTCTGGTTTATAAACAAAATAGGTTAGACTACAGTTTGCAGTTTCATAATTTTTTTCTTTACCTCAGATGACAACTTTGTACTTTCTACTTAAGGTAAGTATAGGAGTTAGATCTGTTTTTAACATGCACGTACCTTTTATACCAATGAGAGTAGCATTGCTTTCCAGCTGTTGGTAGCTAAGAAATTACTTGAGACTAGCCAAAACCTATGTAAAATCTTAACAAAATAACCACATAAACTAGAAAGCATCCAATTTTGAAGAACCTTATCCTATTGCTCATAGCACACTCTGTCTGAAGTGCAAGTTTGTTTATAATCACCAACTTGTATTCCTGCTGTACCAGGCTCTTCTGCTGTGCTGGTACCTGACATTTTGGGTATCACTACTTTGTTGTAAGTTTTGAAATTGGGAAGTGTGAGAATATTCCAACTTTGTCCTTCAAGATTGTTTTGGCTGTTCTGGGTGCTTTGCAATTCCATACGAATTTTATAATCAGCTTATTGATTTCTACAGAAAGGCAGGCAGGGTAGCAGGGTTGTCTCAGGTTTGTGGAGTGTCACTGCCTTAGTGAATGCTAAGCCTTAGGATCACGAGCATGAGTTGTCTTCATATTTGTTTTAAATCTTTAATTTCCTTCAACAATGTTTTGTGGTTTTCCGAGTGTGGGTTTTATATTTCTTTTGTTACATTTATTCCTGTTATTCTTTTTGATGCTATTGTAAATGGGTTTTATTTTTTTGGATTGTTAATTGCAGGTATATAGAAATACAACTGATTTATGTGTATTGATGTATCCTGCAACCTTGCTGGACTCATTAATTCTAACAGTTTTTTTGTCTTCTGTTGGATTCCTTAGGATTCTCTTTATACACAATCATGTTGTCTGCAAGGAGAGAGAGTTTTTCTTCTTTTCCGATCTGGATATCTTTTACTTATTTTTTCATTTATTTGCCTAACTGCCCTGGCTGCTACCCCCCAGCATAGTGTTGAATAGAAGTGGTGAAGGTGGACATCCTTGTTCATGATCTCGGAAGATAATCTATTCTTTACTATTAAGTATGACGTTAACTGTTTTTTTTCATTGATGCTCTTTATTAGGTTGAAGGATTTTCATTTTACTTCCGGTTTAAAAAAAATGTTTTCACAAACGTTTACCGGGTTTTGTCAAATACTCTTTCTGTGTCTGTTGAGGTAATTGTGATTTTTGTTTCTTATTCTATTGATATGATGTATTACATAAATTGATTTTCTTTTTTTTTTTAAATAAATTGATTTTCAAATGTTAAACCAACCTTGAAATTCTGGAACGAATTGTACTTTGTCAAGGTGTATAATTCTTCTTGTATGTTGCTGTGTTCATTTTGCTAATACTATATTGTTGAGGATTTTTGTGTCTATATTCATAAGTGATACTCATTTGTAGTTTATTTTTTTGGTGTCTTTGGTTTAGTGAAAAGATGTTAAATTGGAATCTTCAGCTTTTAATAAACCTGATCATAAGAATTGGTTAAATAGCTTGTATATTACAAGTAGAGGTTGTTTTAAATATGGCAAATGAAGTTAATTCAGTAGTTCCTCTTTGTAATTTTCCTTGGAAATACTAGGTTTTTTTTCAAAGACATGTTCACAATTAATTGCAGTCTTTTTGAATGTGTCTGTACATGGTATATTTTTATTCTGAAATATGTATAATAAGATTCTAGTCAGTTGCTACTCTGCTTAGTCACCAACTAGTGATTGTTAGAAAATGCTAGTTTTTGTGCTGTGATCTGTACAGGTAAGACCTGATGGAGGTCTCATGTCTGACTTGATAACTCTAACTGCAGCGGGCTGCTCTCTCTGGGCTGGGATTCATTTGCCTGTTTGTAAAATGGGATTATGGGAAGGGCCCTGCCTGGAGTTGTGGATGATCCCTTGTCATGTTTTACAATACTTCTTTTATGTTATAAACTCTTAGTTATTTTACACATTTTTAGGTGCTTTGAAAGAGTTTTCAGTTTTAATGTTGTATTTAAAATAATTAAGGCAAACTTAAGATGCTAAGTATGTGCTATTAGGTGTTTAATTTTGTCATGTTCATTGTCTTGCATGATGACATTTTTTACTGAGTGAAGAAAAATCAGTGTAGGTATAAATAGGTAGGTAGCTGAGAATTTCAAATATCCCTAGATGTGCTTGTAGGAATGTTTTATAAATAAATGTCTTCTATCTTATGTGTTAAATCAAAGTAAAGGTTGTGGATAGTTGGCATAAAGTATCTGGGTGCTGACTTCACTGCTCTGCTTTAGATGAGGAAAGTTGACCCAATATTTATAATCCTGTAACATAAGTAAAATTAAAATTTGCTTCTGCTAAAAAGAAGATAATCTAGTTAAAACTTAATTTTTGAAAGTGTTACAGGTGAAGAGTGATCATTACTTACCAAATCTTGCAATGGAATAATAATAATGTTAATACTATTAAAAGAATAGTTAGGAAGTTTGTTTAAAATATTGTAGAGCTTCAGGTTGAAATCTGGGAGTCATGTCTTTATGAATTTCAGTGTCAGTGATTTTCTTCTAAAGACTCTTTAAAAGGGTTTGATGACTAGTCAGAAAGTAGGAGCAAGGGTTGCACTTTCAGCTCCAGAGACAAATGAGCATGCATAGCAAATAGAAGAAAGGAAGACATTGTGCTCCATGAATGAC